GCTCACTTCCCCAGCGCTGGCATGTCACCAGGGAGCCGGATGCCCATGGCTGGCTTGCAGGTGGGACCCCTACGGGCTCCCCATTGGTACAGCTACTCCACTTCGACCTGGCATGCCACCCACCATGATGGACCCATTCCGAAAACGCCTGCTTGTGCCCCAGGCCCAGCCCCCAATGCCTGCCCAGCGCCGGGGGTAAGCCTGTTTTTCCCACTCTACCTAGCACAGCTGTAGTGGCAACAGAGGGCTTTCCTCCGTCCTAAGAACTGCTATGACTGAGGAAGGCTCCTTGTTCTCCTCGGGGAGGATCCTGGGGACTGGAGGGATGGATGGGGTTGGGGGTCCTTTGGACCATTGACCTGTTAATTGGGTTTCTGTCCTCCCCAGGTTAAAGAGGAGGAAGATGGCAGATAAGGTTCTACCTCAGCGAGTGAGTATGTTGGGAGGGGCCTAGGGGGCCCACCCAATGGCTGGCTATGGATGGAGTCAATCTCCTCCAGCCCTGCGATGGGGAAGGGAGAGAAGAAAGAGCCAGAGCTGCAGCTGAAACAACGGATGAATTCCTTCTCCCTCCAGATTCGGGAGCTTGTCCCAGAGTCTCAGGCGTACATGGACCTCTTGGCTTTTGAGCGGAAGCTGGACCAGACCATTGCTCGCAAGCGGATGGAGATCCAGGAGGCCATCAAAAAGCCTCTAACGGTGTGTGCAGCCCTGGCTAATCCTGGGCCTTCCCACGCTCTCTGCCTCTCCTCGGCCTGGTTTTCTGGGGGTTAAGTAAGGGTCTGTGATGGGTAGAGCAGGATATTTCACTGCGGATGCAGCCTTTAGTGGAGCATGAACTCAGTTAATGTGGTGGGACCAGCATGTTTTTTATGAAATATAAAATAGTAGAAATTAAAATAATTCTCCATAGTAAAGTACTTACCAGAGTAGTAGAGGTATTATTCATAACATTTTTGTTTCAGGTGTTTATATAGATGTGTGTGGATCCTGGGTCATGATTTAAAATGTAAATCATGTTGCCCTAGCCCAGTGATCGGCAAACTACGGCTCGCGAGCCACATGTGGCTCTTTGGCCCCTTGAGTGTGGCTCTTCCACAAAATACCACGTGCGGCGTGCACATACAGTGCGATTGAAACTTCGTGGCCCATGCGCAGAAGTTGGTATTTTGTGGAAGAGCCACACTCAAAGGGGCCAAAGAGCCACATGTGGCTTGCAAGCCGCAGTTTGCCGACCACTGCCCTAGCCGATTTGGCTCAGCAGATAGAGTGTTGGCCTTTGGACTGAAGGGTCCTGAGTTCGATTCTGGTCAAGGGCACATGCCCAGGTTTCGGGCACGATCCCCAGTTGGGGGCATGCAGGAGGCAGCTGATCAATGATTCTCTCTCATGATTGATGTTTCTATCTCTCTTTCCCTCTCCCTTCCTCTCTGAAATCAATAAAAAATATATACTTTTTTTAAAAGTTAAAAAAAGTAAATAAAATGCAAATCATGTTGATCATGGTCAGAAGTTTGAAAGGTAAAACTGGAGGATTAGGATAATTCTTCTCTCCTTACCCATCCCTAGAGCTTTTCTTTTTCTTCTTCTTCCTCTTTCTTTTTAATAATAATCTAGCACAGTCCCCTGAATGGTGAAGGCTTTCTAGGAGGCGAGAATGTTTTGGGGCTGTGATGAGTTTTATTTAAAACTAGAGGCCCGGGGCACAATGATTTGTGCACTCGGGGGGGTGGGGGAGGGTCCCTCAGCCTGGCCTGTGCCTCTCACAGTCTGGGACCCTTTGGGGGATGACCACCTGCTGGTTTAGGCCCGCTCCCTGGGGGATTAGGCCTAAGCTGGCAGTCAGACATCCCTCTGGCAGCCCGGGAGCCCTCGGGGGATGTCCACTTGCCAGCGGGGAGCAGGCCTAAGCTGCAGTCAGACATCCTTAGCGCTGCTGAGGAGGTGGGAGAGGCTCCCACCACCGCTGTACTGGCAGCCGGCAGCCTGGCTTGTGGCTGAGCAGAGCTCCCCCTGTGGGAGCGCACTGACCACCAGGGGGCAGCTCCTGCATTGAGCATCTGCCCCCTGGTGGTCAGTGTGTGTCATAGTGACCAGTCATTCCCAGTCGTTCTGCTGTTAGGGTCAATTTGCATATTATCCTTTTATTATATAGGAGTGCCTGGCCAGCCTGGGTGAGGGACTGATGGCTGTTTGCAGGTTGGCCACAGCCCCTTCAGTGTGGGGGTCCCCACTGGGTGCCTGGCCAGCCTGGGTGAGGGGCTGAGGGCTGTTTGCAGGCTGGCCACAGCCCCTTTAGGGTGGGGGTTCCTGCTGGGGTGCCTGGCCAGCCTGGGTGAGGCGCTGAGGGCCGTTTTCAGGCTGGCTAAGCCCCCCAGTGGGGACCCTCACCCCATGAGGGTGTGGCCATCCTGGGTGAGGGGCTGATGGCTGTTTGCAGGCTGGCCACAACCCCAGCCACCCAAGCTCCCAGTGGAGGATGGCTGGAAGCAGGTATCTGGGATTTATTTGTCTTCTATAATTGAAACTGTTGCCATGAGCGGAGGCCACAGCCGGCTCAGGGCAGGCGGGAAGCTTGGCTTCCTCCATCGCCCGGGCAACTAAGCCTCCTGCTTGCTCCAGCTCCGTGGCTGCCAGCCGCCATTTTGGTTGGGTTAATTTGCATATAGTCACTCTGATTGGCTGGTGGGCATGGCTTAGGGCATAGCGAAGGTACAGTCAATTAGCATCTTTGTCTTTATTAGTGTAGCTAAGAGCTGGAGGCTTCTGATTTGCCTGATAGCACCTTGTGTGTCCACTGATTCCACAGTGTTGGAACTGTGGATAGTGCATCTGTTCCCCCCATAAAACTGGGAGTCCCTTGAAGGCCAAGATAAGGAGCCTAACAAGGTGCTGGCCCATAGCTGCCACTCAGTATTGATGTTGAATGAGTTCAGATGGGAAGACAGGGGTAGCATTGTTTTCTAACATGTTGGTCCATCTTTGTCTTTTTCTTTTCAGCAAAAACGAAAGCTGCGGATCTATATTTCCAATACGTTCAGTCCCAGCAAGGCGGAAGGTGACAGTGCAGGAACTGCAGGGACCCCTGGGGGAACCCCATCAGGGGACAAGGTGGCTTCCTGGGAACTCCGAGTGGAAGGAAAACTCCTGGATGATGTGAGTTGGGGAAGAAGCTGTCTGGAGAGGACATGGCCTGTGTGGATTTTAAGACTGGGGCCAGCCACTTGGGCACTTCTGGGAAGTCCTACCTGAGGGAAAGGGCAGTGCTCCCGGTCAAGCTTTGCACTGGGCCAAGCCAGTCAGAGGTTGGGAGATTTGTATGGTTATTACAACAGTTCTCCTACAGGTGGCAGTAAAGTGTCTTGAAGGTGTTCCCTTTAAAAAAAAAAATACATATATATTTATTTTATTGATTTCAGAGAGCAAGGGAGAGGGGGAGAGAGAAACATCAATGATGAGAGAGAATCATTGATTGGCTCCCTCCTGCACGCCCTCCACTGGGGATCGAGCCTGCAACCTGGGCATGTGCCCTTGGCTGGAATCAAACCCAGGACCCTTCAGTCCACAGGCCGACGCTCTATCTACTGAGCCAAGCCAGCTAGGGTGTCCCTTTTTTAATTAAAAATCGTATTTTGGCTAACAGTGGGGCTGCACAGAGAGTCCTTTTCCTACTTCCAGTCATTCACTCTTCCCTGCTTCTTTCAGGGCCTAAGAATCCTCAGTACCCTGAACTTCAGGGCTGAAACAGTATTCCTCTTTTGGGGGCTTAGCATAGCTTAGCTTTGAAAGCTCAGCAGCACTCCCATCTCACCCCTTTCCCTCCCCAGCCTAGCAAACAGAAGAGGAAGTTCTCTTCATTCTTTAAGAGCCTCGTCATTGAGCTAGACAAGGAGCTGTACGGGCCTGACAACCACCTGGTGGAGGTGAGAGTGGACCTGGGGCATGGGAGCACAGGCTGATGTGCCAGGTGCACAGAGAAATAGGCTCGGTCCCCTTGGAGAGGGCCAAGTGTGTATGTTCATGCCCACCCCTTGGTGATGAACTATGCTCCCTTCCTCCCTGCCAGTGGCATCGGATGCCCACCACCCAGGAAACGGATGGCTTCCAGGTGAAACGGCCTGGAGACCTCAATGTCAAGTGTACCCTCCTGCTCATGCTGGATCATCAGGTGACTGGGGCCATGTCTCAGGGACAGGGGCAGGTTTATTGTAAACCCTTCCTGTCCCTGCCCTATTCTTTGGCTTTGGTTTTTAACAAGAACCCCTCCTTTGACTTCCTTCTATCCCCAGCCTCCTCAGTACAAGTTGGACCCCCGACTGGCAAGGCTGCTGGGAGTGCACACACAGACAAGGGCCGCCATCATGCAGGCCCTGTGGCTGTACATCAAACACAACCAGCTGCAGGACGGGCATGAGCGCGAGTACATCAACTGCAACCGTTACTTCCGCCAGGTTAGCTGGGAACTCCTCCTAGTCTTGCAGCCCCTGTGTTGCCTGGTGTCCCAGAGCCCCACTGAGCTAGCTCTTGGCCATTCTTCACACTCCCCCTGCGAGGACCCACTTCCCCCTGTGCCCTGAAAGGCACCTTTGGTACTCTCTCCAGATCTTCAGTTGTGGTCGTCTCCGATTCTCCGAGATTCCCATGAAGCTGGCTGGCTTGCTGCAGCATCCAGACCCCATTGTTATCAACCATGTCATTAGGTCAGTGGGAAGAGGGCAATGGGAAGGCTCTTCTAAAAGCAATTTACCTTTGGATTGATCTAAAGAGAAGCAGCAGGTCTGGTTTCTTGCTCCCCAAGTGTGTGTAGGTTTGGCCCAGGTGGGTGGGATGGATACTGCTATGTACTCATCCTTCCCCTCCTGCGTGCTGCCTACAGCGTGGACCCTAATGACCAGAAGAAGACAGCCTGTTATGACATTGACGTCGAGGTGGATGACCCACTCAAGGCCCAGATGAGCAATTTCCTGGCCTCTACCACCAATCAGCAGGAGATTGCCTCCCTTGATGTCAAGGTGGGCCCTCTGCATCTACCCCCCCACCCTCTGGGGCCCAAGTTGCGGGTGGGCATTCTCTGTTGGGCATTTCTATACATGTAGCACCTGGGGATAGGATTTCTGTCCAAGTCCTTTGTGGTTAGGTCTGGAAACAGACTCCTTAGAAGTGGGGGCCAGTCTGACACATATATATACCCCTCCCCCCCAGATCCATGAGACCATCGAGTCCATCAACCAGCTGAAGACCCAGAGGGATTTCATGCTCAGCTTTAGCACTGACCCCCAGGACTTCATCCAGGAATGGCTCCGTTCCCAGCGCCGAGACCTCAAGGTGTGGTCCTCTTTCCTGGTGATGAGACCAGGTTAAGCTCTGGGTGGTTTTATCCCCATCACTATTGATTCCAGGGGCTCAGGAGTGGGAATTATGCTACCACTTTTTCCTGGCTCTTTGCAGATCATCACTGATGTGATTGGGAATCCTGAGGAGGAGAGACGAGCTGCTTTCTACCACCAGCCCTGGGCCCAGGAAGCAGTGGGGAGGCATATCTTTGCCAAGGTGAGACTCTGCCCTGCTTGCCCTCCTGTGGTGGTGAGCAGCAGAAGCCTGAGCTGCTGGTCTCTCTTCCAGGTGCAGCAGCGAAGGCAGGAACTGGAACAGGTGCTGGGAATTCGCCTGACCTAACTGCTCAGGGATCCCTTCCTTTCTTCCCAGCCCAGGCATCATCCCCTTCTCAGCCTGGAAGGGACCCCCATCTGAGGCTGCAGACACATAGGATAAGGAGCAGGGTGAAGGTTTGTCCTGTTACCCTCAGCTTCCCAGCGTTAGTTTCATAAATGTAGCGGTAGGATTCCTTGTTGCTTGGTCCCCAAAGCCTTATTACTTACTTTCCGCATTGGCTTTAATTGGGTTCACAATAAACGCCTCTGCTCCCTGCAGGCAGGCCCACGTAGGACTACTGGGGGCCTGGCTTTGCCATTGTAAGGGAGGAGGTTCAGAACCAAAGGCCATTGGCTTTGCTTGTTTACAGACTTCCCCTTGGGGCAAGTGCCCTAGCTGGCTCTGGGGAGCTGGGCAAGGAAGAGAGACTCAGCTCACTCTTCCTACCCTTTCTAAACCAAAGTTCTTTGCCATTCCGACCAGCCCAGCCTAGCTGCTGGCTTTTTCCTTTCCTTTGGGTATTTGCACTATTTGGGGAGCAGGTTCTTCTATGTGGGAGCCACTTTTTTATACAGGGGGCAAGTTGGGGTTTTTCAGGGAGCCCTGTTTGGTGCCTCCTCCCTTATTTTCTTTCCTCAATCTATGCAAGCGGCTCTGGCCGCCATCATCTCCTGGGATGCCAGAGGGCTGCCACTCCAGCTCTTGGGCCCAGGGCTATAAAGCCTCCTAGAGGAAGGGGACACTCAAGTTCTCTGGCTTGGCCTGAGGCATGGGTGTGTGTGCTTGGTGGAGGGCAGGGGGAACTCATTCCCATTTGGAGCTTGATAAGAAGGGTGGGCCTAGGGCTTGGAAAGTGCCACTTCTGGCAGGTTTGGAAATTTCCAAATAAATCCTTGTTTATTGGTGGTGCCCAGACCTGGTCATTGAACAGTGTGGCCACTCATTAATAGACTGAAGTCCTAAAGGCCTTGTCCTGCAGAGCTTTATTTGAGGATCTACACAGGGACCATCCACCTCACTTCCATAGCTTCTTAATGGACATGTTTTTCTCACTATCCTTCTGCATGACCTGCAGAGAGAAAACATTAAGTTACAAACTGGGTGAACACAGGCCCTATCCCCACTGCTCTAGAGCCACCGTCAGCAAAGGCAGAAAAGATGGAGACCTGTACCTTGGCTACCGCCATCTCGAAGTCCTCCTGGGTCACATGGACTCGCCGTTCCCGTAGGGCATACATGCCAGCTTCCGTGCACACACCCTGAGCAGGGAAAGGAAGACAGGCTGTAGCTGTGCCCTTGAACCCAGAGCTTCCTGCCTCTGCCCCTTCCTTTTCCTTGGGCCCTCCGATTACCTTCACTTCAGCCCCTGATGCTCCTGGCATGAGCTCAGCAATTTTTCTCAGGTTGATCCCCCGGGTCAGGTTCATTTTTCGAGAATGAATCTTCAAAATGTCCAGGCGAGCCTAGAGATGAGAGGAAAAAGCTGAGCCCCACTGTCTACCCCCCCAGCCAGATCCATGCCCAGCATTGCCCATTACAAACCTCCTCATTAGGGGGTGGGAATTCAATTTTTCTGTCAATGCGCCCTGGGCGAAGCAAAGCCGAGTCCAGGATGTCGATCCTATTAGTAGCCATGATAACCTGAGGAGAAGGGGTGTGGCATCAGCTAGGCTCCTCCCCAGGTTGCACCTCACCCATGGCCTTCCCTCAGCTCATCCCATCTCTCACACCACCTCACCTTGATATTCTTGGTGGCCTCAAAGCCATCCAGCTGGTTGAGCAGCTCCAGCATGGTGCGCTGCACTTCACTGTCCCCCCCAGAACCCCCCTCCAGCCGTGAGGAGCCGATGGAGTCGATTTCGTCCATGAAGATGATAGATGGGGCGTGTTCTCGTGCCATGACGAACAGCTCCCTCACCATTCTTGCCCCTGTGCCGAGGCCAAACTAGCATTAGGAGTTGAGTTCCCTACCCTTACCCTACCCCCCCCCCCTTCTGCTTGGTTTTCATGTTTCTAGCCACAGTTACCTTCCCCGATGAATTTTTGTACCAATTCAGAGCCAGAGACACGAATAAAGGTACAGTCTGTATGATGAGCCACAGCCCGGGCCAATAGTGTCTTCCCAGTGCCTGGGGGTCCATACAGCAGCACTCCCTAGAGGGAAACAGCAGGTCTCAGGGCAGAAAGCCAGCCCCATGTTTCATTCAATGAACACATACTGCTTGCTCTGTGCTGGATCCCATACTAGAAGCTTAGAGATATAAAAGAATGAATGTCAAGGTCCCTTCTGGTGTTTGTATCCAAACCTCCTCAGTACCCTGATAGTATCTCTTCCCCAGCCCTCTTGAGTGGGGAGGGCCAACTTATCCCTCCCCAAACCCTGCACCCAGTCTGGGCTGGGACAGGTGAGGAACAGCATGGCCCTCCCACAGAAGCCCTACTTCTCACCTTGGGCTGTGCAATGCCCAGTGCTTCAAAGAGTTCAGGATGCTTAACGGGCAGCTCGATGACTTCTTTGATCTCCTTGATCTGCTTGTCCAGTCCACCAATCATCTCATAAGTGGAATCTGGCACCTTCTTCCACCATCATCAGTGACACCAGTGGGTCTACCTTGTTGAGCAGGATCTTGTGCAGAGTGTAGCTGTCATTTCTTAGAGCCACCCGCCAGTTGGGTGTTACCTGGGAGAAGGGGAGAGACTTTTCATTAGCTGTGTGGAGAGAACTGACCCAAACTCCACCTCCTCTGCTGC